ATAGTCTTTCTCTCACTACAAGCGCTCGTTGTTGGCCAAAGTAGATGCTACTCGTCTACTAAGGTTCTGTACCTGGTCATGTGGCGCAGCCTTTCCATATAGTCTTTCTCTCACTACAAGCGCTCGTTGTTGGCCAAAGTAGATGCTACTCGTCTACTAAGGTTCTGTACCTGGTCCTGTGGCGCAGCCTTTCCATACAGTCAGAGCTTATGTAGTTCTGCGTGGAGCCAATGTCAACGAAGGCACCACATTTGCGGCCTCCTACACCAACTTCCACACACTTCTAGGACCACCACTTTGTGCCACCCAAGATTCTCTAGGGTCCCTGTCTAACCACTCACTCTGCGAATTCCTCTAAGGCCTCAGACACATCTAATGTACAAAGCACATTTTGGTCTAGATGAGTCTGCGGGATGACTAAAGAGTCATTAGCCTTGGCCAACTCATGAAGTGGGGAGGGTATTCCCACTTCACCATGAGTAGAAGCAGCTAAAACTTCCACCGGCCTCACGTGTTTCTCGAGCTAGAAGCCTGGGAAGAAGGCACCCCTCTCTTAAGGATATCTTCTGCGTGACCTTCGCATTCTTGCACTTATGCTGGGTGTGCTCATTTTCACCTAGTTAATGCAAGCTCCATGCGAACGGTGGTCCCGCTACACTATTCTAAGCCTGCCTTAACCCAATCATCCACTTTAGACTGATTGGAGGCGGCCTGCCCTTGACTCTTTTGATGGCCCTTCATTCGGCCATCTGCCTTAGTCTTTTTTTACCTCGGCAAGGGTGCTACCCTCAGCATAGTCCTCACCACAATCCTCTGGTGTGTCCATCAGGTCAGAAGGGTCATTGACCTCTTCATTCGTCTACCCTTCCTCTTCCACTCCTGTGGACTCTGCTTTCTTCTTCCGTCTACTGAAGAATGATATGCCAACTGTGTTCTCAGTCTCTCAAGGAGAAATAGTGAATGCCTGGGACAACAATGAGATTCTCAACGGTAGTCGTAAACTCCCTGACTAGATTGGGCCAGCAAGCTTCTACCCTGTCGATGAACTTTTCTAAAGATTGGGCCTCACCCCAAACTCCTATGCGTCCTCCATATCCGGCTTTCGCTATGAACACATTAAGCCGGTATCACTTCCTCTTATGGCAAGGTTCTCTTGGCCCTGACCCACATCGGTAACGATCTCATCCTGAGATTGAGATCCTCCTCCTCCTTTGGGGTCTTTGAGAACAAGGAACTTGCTACTGTTCTTGTGGTGGAACAGGTTGCTGTGGCGGTGATTGAGCAGCTGTCACCGCATGACTAGAAGAAGAAAAAGCTACAGTCTGTGCTGTTGCTGCAGATGAACCGCTTGGTTGTGTGCCAGCATGGGGATAGATGCCTATAACTGCCATCTTAGGGAGTGGCGATTTATAAACTGCGAGCAGCCTAGAGCTTAGCTGCTGCAACTGAGTCAATGTCTAATCCAAGGTGTCTCGCATGAAGTCTTCTTTGTTGACTACGTGTGCGTGTAGTGCGAGCAAACTAGACCTCAACACCTTCATTGGGTCAAACATCACTGCCTCGTCTGTTGCCTCTAACGCAGTTTTGTTGGCCTCTACTCTCTCCAACCTGACTATCCTAACTCTCTTTCTCTCTATGGCTTCCTGAAGTTCCCTCTCTAGCCGTGCAAGGATCCTTTCGACTTGCTGGAGTTCCCTCAACTCCTGCTGGCGTGGGGTCAACGGGCGTAACTGCAAGCCCGCCATTTGACTGGTGGAGACATCAGAAACTACAGTACTATAGATGCCAGGGGACCAGGTGAGCATTCCCAACTGTGTCCCTGACGAGGTCCCAGACGAGATGGCAGCATTGGATGCTGCTGCGGCGGCCTGTCTAGGTGCTACGTTAGCTGCTGCTACTAGTTGTGCAACTCCCTTTGCTGTTCTCTCCACTGCTGCTCGTGCACGAGCTCTTTCTCCGGCCCTAAGCCGTCGCTTGACTTCGGTATATAGAATCTAGAACACGAACGAAACTCTCTTTAGTTCCGACCGTGCGTCTCCCATAGTCAACTCTATCCTCATCGCTGTCTGACCCATTCAACAGCTGGGCAAACATTATCTGCACTACAACTCCAGCAATGAACAGCAACCAGACAACTTGACTACCAGCGAGTGATGATGTCAACACCAATGCAGACCTCCACCATCACCAGGTACGTGTCCTCTTCCCCACACTCTCCCTTGTTACCCACACAGCGCCCTTCACCTCCGAAGTACCACCTTCGCCCTC